TCTCCAGGGACTGATCTCTCCTGATAACATGTCCAAATTATGTGAGATGTAGTCTCATCATCCTTGCTTCTAAGGAGCGTGCTGGCTGTACTTCTTCCAAGACAGATTTGTTCATTCTTTTGGTAGTCCATGGTATATTCAATATTTTCCGCCAACACCATAATTCAAAGACATCAATTCTTCTTTGGTCTTCCTTAGTCACTGTCCGGCTCTCCCATGCATATGAGGCAACTGAAAATACTATGCCTTGGATCAGGAGTACCTTAGTCTTCTAGGTGACATCTTTGGTTTTTTACACTTTAAAGAGGTCTTTTACAGCAGATTTGCTCAATGCAATTAGTCTTTTGATTTCTTGACTGCTGCTTCCATGGGTATCAATTGTGGATCCAAGTACAATGAAATCCTTGGCAACTTCAAACTTTTCTCCATGTATCGTGATGTTGCTTATTGGTCCAGTTGTGAGGATTTTTGTTTTCTTTCCACTGAGATGTAATCCATACTGAAGGTTGTGGTCTTTGATCTTCATCAGTAAGTGCTTCAAGTCCTCTTCCACTTTCAGCAAGCAAGGTTGTATCATCAGCATATTGCAGGTTGTTAATGAGTCTTCCTCCAATCCTGATGCCCATTCTTCTTCATATATTCCAGCTTCTCGGATTATTTGCTCAGCATACAGATTGAATAAATATGGTGAAAGGATACAATCCTGACGCACACCTTTGCTGACTTTAAACCCTGCAGAATCCCCTTGTTCTTTCGAACAACTGCATCTTGATCTACGCACAGGTTCCTCATGAGCAAAACTAAGTGTTCTGGAATTCGCATTCTTTGCAGTGTTATCCGTAATTTGTTAAGATTCACAGAGTCGAATGCCTTTGCATAGTCAATAAAACACAGGTAAACATCTTTCTGGTATTCTCAGCTTTCATCCGAGATCCATCTGACATCAGCAATGATATCCTTGGTTCCATGTCCTCTTCTGAATCCAGCTTGAATTTCTGGCAGTTTCCTGTCGATATACTGCTGCAACCACTTTCGAATGATCTTCAGCAAAATTTTACTCGCGTGTGATATTAGTGATATTCGATAATTTCTGCATTCCGTTGGATCATCTTTCTTTGGAATAGGCATAAATATGGCTCTCTTCCAGTCGGATGGCCAGGTAGCTGTCTTACAAATTTCTTGGCATTAGACGAGTGAGCACTTTCAGTGCTGCATCCGTTTATTGACACATCTCAGTTGGTATTCTGTCAATTCCTGAAGCCTTGTTTTTTGCCAATGCCTTCAGTGCAGCTTGGACCTCTTCCTTCAGTACCATCAGTTCCTGATCATATGGTACCTCCTGAAATGGTTGAACGTCGACCAATTCTCTTTGGTATAGTGACTCTGTGTATTCCTTTCATCTTCTTTTGATGCCTCCTGCATCGTTTAATATTTTCCACGTAGAATCCTTCAATATTGCAACTCGAGACTTGAATTTTTAATTCAGTTCTTTCAGTTTGAGAAATGCTGTGTGTGTTCTTCCATTTTGGTTTTCTAACTCCAGGTCTTTGCACATTTCATCATAATACTTTACTTTCTCTTCCCGAACTACCCTTTGAAATCTTCTGTTCACCTCTTTTACTTCATCATTTCTTCCCTTTGCTTTAGACACTCGACATTCAAGAGCAAGTTTCAGAGTCTCTTCTGACATCTATTTTGGTCTTTTCTTTCTTTCCTGTCTTTTTAATGACCTCTGTTTTCTTCATGTATGATGTCCTTGATGTCATTCCACAACTCATCTGGTCTTCGGTCATTAGTTTTCAACGGGTCAAATCTATTTTTGAGATGGTCTCGAAATTCAGGTAGGATATATATACTCAAGGTCATTCTTTGGCTCTCATGGACTTGTTCTAATTTTCTTCAGCTTCAACTTGACCTTGCATATTAGCAATTGATGGTCTGTTCCACAGTCGGCCCCTGGCCTTATTCTGACTGATGATATTGTGCTGTTCCATTGTTTCTTTCCACAGATGTAGTTAATTCGATTCCTCTGTATTCCATCTGGTGAGGTCCATGTGTACAGTCACCATTTATGTTGTTCAAAAAGGTATTTGCAATGAAGAAGCTGGTCTTGTAAAATTCTGTCATGCAATCTCTGGCATTGTTTCTATAACCAGGGCCGTATTTTCCAACTACCGATCCTTCTTCTTTGTTCCTAACTTTTGCATTCCAATCACCACCAATTATCAATGCATCCTGATTGCACGTTCGATTAATTTCAGACCACAGAATTTAGTAAAAAATCTTCATTTTCTTCATCTTGGCCTTAGTGGTTGGTGTGTACATTTGAATAACAGTCGTATTAACTGGTCTTCCTTGTAGACATATGGATATTATCCTATCACTGACAGTGTTGTACTTCAGGACTGATCTTGAAATGTTCTTTGTGATGATGAACGAGACATCACTCCTTTTCAATCTGTCATTCCTGGTATAGTAGACCATATGACTGTCTAATTCAAAATGGCCAATACCAGTCCATTTCAGCTCACTAATGCCTAGGATATCGATGTGTATGCTTTCCATTTCATTTTTGACAATTTTCAATTTTCCTGAGTTCATACTTTGTACATTCCAAGTTCCGATTATTAATGGATGCTTGCAGCTGTTTCTTCTCATATTGAGTTGTGCCACATCAGCAAACGAAGGTCCCAAAAGCTTTACTCCATCCACGTCATTCAGGTCAACTCTACTTTGAGGAGGCAGCTGTTTCCCAGTTTTTTGAGTGTCTTCCAACCTGAGAGGCTCATATTCTGGCACTATATTAGACAGTGCTCCGCTGCTATTCATAAGGTTTTCACTGGCTAATTCTTTTCAAAAGTAGACTGCCAGGTCTTTCTTCCTAGTCTGTCTTAGTCTGCAAGCTCAGCTGAAACCTGTACACCATGAGTGACACTGCTGGTATTTGAAATACCAGTGGCGTAGCTTCCAGCATCATAGCAACACACAAGCCCCCACAGTACGACAAACTGACAGCTGCGTAGGGGGGACCCTTTTTATAGATAGGCCAAATATTCTGGTGCCATTTTATCTGTGGGGAACTTGAGGCCTAGAGTTAAGAAGACCTTCTTGATGCTTGATAAGCACCAAGCAGATAGTGTACAAGTCACACACTTTTTATCCCAAAGGATTGAAGATTTTGAGATGCTAACTAGATGATTAGTTAACAGTTATTTTTCTTACGAAAATATATAATCAGACAATTCAAGGCCCCTGACTAGAAAAAATTCTAAGAGTGGGGTTCTCACAATAAAATGTAAATGCCCCCAAAATAAATAAACTAACCTCAGGTATGTTTGGAAACAATTAGTGTGCTTGCCACTCTCACTTCACAGGAAGTTGAGCTTGTGAGAAATACATAAGTACATTATATTCATCAGGCTGAGTGGGTAATTTAAAACTCTCACACATCTCCCAGTAATACAGTGCTTCAGCATTTTCTAGCTCAGGGCCAGCTGATCCCAGAGTGGCCTGAATATCCTGCTTTTTGTCAAGAAGAGGCAGCTCAAGGATACCAGAGCTTCCTTTGTAGTTGCACCCAATTCTAGAATCAAAATCCTTCTCCCTTTGGAAAGAACTACCAGAGAGTGTTTGTGGAAGATGTTTAAAGGAGTTTCCAATACCACAAATGTTTGATGAGACCAGAATTGGTCAAATAGTTATATTTTTCTTATCTTATCTCTTGAAGCTTCTTGATCTACCAAAGCATATTATTTAATCAGTTCTAGTTTGTTTCCTTTGGATATGCTTTGTCTCCCGAGATACATTATCAACAAAATAGGAGCCTAGTGTACTTAATAGATGAATCTTGAAGCCGTTTCACAATATAAGTAGAAAAATTCTCTGAATGTGATTGTGAATGGGAAAGGTTATAGTAAATGTGCCTGAGAGCAAGCATATTTGTTAGGGCACATAAAGTTGAAAATACTTGAATCCCAAATAGTTGACAGCAGGGGAGAAAAGTAGGGGGAACAAAGATGTCGACGAATTATTAATAGGAATTCTGCTTTCAAGCCTGCAGAATATTTTGATTAATCACCAACATCTACTGAAAAAGGGCAATTCTCTTTGCCTGATCTTATTCTAGAACTAGAGAATTATTGGGGTGAGAGGTGCTGCTTTGTAGGGCAGTCAAAACGCTGCAAGTAGAAAGCATCTTCATATTCCTTCATGTGTTCAAATATAGTGCAGGATGTATGCAGACTTTTAAGCTGGGTAGACTGTTGGTTTTCTCTCTACTATTGTTTTTACAATAAAAAAAGGTCAATCCACATTTAGCTCATATACAATGGCAACGTTTCTTAGAATCATAATGGGGAAAAAACCCACTCATTCCAGAATACCATGTAAGAGGTTTAAAAATGACCTTGTCATGGCTACTTTTAGGCAAAATTTGCTCTTGGTCCCACCACCTCCTCATTGGTTGCTACCCAGCTATATATATAGGGCTCTAAGCTAGGATGGCGAGACTTTGTCTCATGCTGTTTGGAAATGTTATCGGGGGGACCAGTCCCCAGAGAGGGACATCATGCTTGGTAAAATAGAGGGTCTGTGAAAATGAGCCCACAGTGGGCTCAAACACAGCAACGGTTGTGAGGATGGTGCAGGACGGGGCAGTGTTTCATTCTGTTGTACGTAGGGTCATATGAATCAGAATTGACTCAAGGGCACCTAAGAACAATGCTCTATAGCTTTACTAAATCCCTCACCTCAAGTTAACACTTATCTGTTCAGGGACACATTTTTTTCTAGGTCTTGCTCTCTGTCAGATGCTAGTGTTCAAATATAAAGAATGAATCTATGTAAATATGTTACAATACATAAATATGTTACCACTTCCAGGCAAGAATGTTTTAGTGGCGGCCTTGTAGAGATAAGAACGGAAGACACGACACAAAAAAGATGAGTTTAAAGCTGAAAATTAAAGGAGAGAATATTTGGGGGCTAATGACTATACTCACGCTGTATCTCCACCCGACAGATTTTTGATACTTATTCACTCTCACTCGCCTTCCTATTTCAGGTAAAGCAGTCTGCAAAAGCAACAACAAAGTGTTATTAGACCCACTGGTACACCCTGAAAATGAATTATGCTTAAGTACTTTGTGCTTCTTCAACACTTAATCGAAGAATGACAATATTATTCGTCTCTCAATTTTCACAAATAGTTTTGATAAAAAATAACCACATTCTTGTTATATACAAAAACTTTGTAACAAATTCTAGTAACAAATTTAACTGCAATATTAATGAGAAAATTGCAATTTGATATTAGTAAAGTTCTATTCTCCCTTACAAAACCATCTATACGTTGAACATGATTTTTAAATATTTCAAAAGTCTTGAGTATCTAAAAAGTTGATTAAATGTGGGTCATGTTCTCTCAGGTTAAAGAAAGGAAACAAGTATAACCATTTTAGAGTGTGTCACTAAAAATGTATAAAGTTGGTTATTTAGAAGCTATGGTCTGTTGGGCAAATGAACCCATGAAAAGTCAAAACCCTTGAAACTCACATTGGTTTGTAACATTTGGCATTTACTGGCAAAACAAAAAGCATGCAGCTCTTTAAATAGTTCCAACAATTCACTCCCTGCACAAATTGGAAAAGAAGAGTTTGTGGCATTGAAAACACTTCAGTGAATCTGTATAGTTTTCAAACATAATAAACTTTTCCTTTAGGGTGTAGTGAATTTTTTTTTTGACCTTTGCTATGTTCGTGCTAGTATTATCATGAGAAAGTGAGATAGTCATGCTAAAGAAAGAGAACAGAAATCAGTGCTTAGCAAATTCTATGACAATATGTTATGAACCGTGACACAACTTTATGTTAGCAGGAACAGTGCCAATTAAACTGTCTCTCTTGCTCATCTGTCAGAAAATACATAAAAAATGTGCATGTCTGACAGGTTCTTCCCTTCTACCTGTCATTGAGGCTCTAATGGCCTCAGTTCTCAGAAGGAAAGGCTGGTGATGGAAAAAAATATTATGGAACACAGCAGGATTAACACAATATTAGAGGAAATCTCCTATTTGCTCTCCCTGGAAATAGACAATCAACTAGAAGTAGATAGGAATGTAGACCTTTCCTTCATCATTATAGAATAGCAAAATATGTAGTACTTTCACTTTGAGTGAAGTCTTTCTATGTGGAAATATAATAACAAATATACCAATTAATATAATATTGAATGATAAATATAATAAATCTAGATTGATATAATTTAAATTATATATAGGGATGATTTTAAAACAAGTACACTAGTTCCTGAACTGTTTATCCCAAGGCAGTGTCCCTTAGGAGAACAGAATACGAACAGGACATAATATTACCTTACGAGCATTCATTACTTTAACGGCTGTAAACGAACCAGTCTTTTCATGGAGACCCTGAAACACAGGATAATGATAAGCATCAAATGCTGGCTAGATAATCCAGCAATCAAGAAGCAAGCAAAGTAAAAAATAAAATAAACTAAAAAATAAATAAGGTCAAACACTACAGCACAGTATAAAATATTACATAGAGATTAAATATAAGGTATTACATAGAGAAGAAAATATGAAATTATCAACATTTTAAAGATAGTCCCACTATTTCACTTGAAAAGTCAAGCAGGTTTATGGAGTAAATCTGCTTTTTCGTTTGCATTAAATAGTGGATATAATTGGCCATTTAAATTACTGCTTTCTTATTATCTTTAGTCTAGGTTTACATGGCACCAAAACCTCAGATAAAGTGTCAAAAATTCAGGTTTCATATATGGAAAAAAAGGAAATATTCTACTGAACAATTTTTTCAACTGGTTATGTGGTACCATGTAGACATATCTTTCCACTGGACCCTTCTTGCTACACATAACAAATTTCTCCACAATGATCACTGTAAGAGGGATACATTATTAATTCAATGGTCTCTAAACCAGTGTGTCCTAGATCATATGAACCAAAGAGATTTATGAAAGGAGGAAGTTCTGGAAGATTCTTTCTTATTGAAATATTATGAGTAATAAGAACTTAGTCTTATCCTAAATGCAATTACAAGTTACAGATTTTTAATTTAAAGAATGGGCATACAGGTTTGGAACCCGGGCTCTTATTTTGTAGATGGTGCTTTTTAAAAAATAATTCAAGCTGTAGTCTTGGAAAAAAATTCAGTAAGCTGAAGTAAGGCTTCAACTTAAAAAAGAATGCCTTCTCTGATAGTTCCCTAGCAGAAGATTTGTATCTGGGGCATTCAAACCAAAAAGGACTGTCACTAATCACAGCTGTCATGTGACAGGCAGCAACAGTTTGACTTAGAATGATCACTTGAGGGTTGGTACATCTGGATAGTATTGTTAATTAGTATTCATAATATTGTTAATTCCTGAATACAAGTAATCTATGTCTTTTGCAGATTTCAGGAACGTGACCCTTAAATATATTGCTAGTTTGTTATCAAAACTCTTTTATAAACCATTTACTTGGAAGTATATAAATACCGTTTTTTTAGACAGTCTTTACTGTTTTACCACCAATGTTACATGTTACAGATGAGTGTCAACACTTCTTCACTTTTCCCACTGATAAGATTGATAGGATTTGAGCCTATCTGTTTCAGGTGACTTCAATTCTAGCGAGCAAACTTCTAGCAATGCTTTTTCATGATCAGAGGCTACTGTTTGTAAATGGAGTTATGTGTCAGAAATGTATGAGAAGACTTTCCAGGAAAACCAGTAACTCTAGACACATTGGCACCTTGACTTCACCCCAGTTCTTGCCAAAAACTTAAGCATTAAACAACTATACTGGTTAGATGGTTGTAGCACTGACAGGAAGTGGCAGTGGGTTGCTTCTTGCTGCGAGAGCCAGGTCAAGGCTAGAAGAGAAGGATGGAAACTAAGCAAGTGAATGTACTGAACTTGAGCTAGGGTTCATAAACTAGTCATGAAGTACAAGGAAATCTCTAGAATCAGGTGAGAAGTTCAGGGTGAGACATGCCAACTACCCGAAGACTAGAATTTCTAAAGGACATAAAAAAGTTACAACTTGTTGATTGATTTGGGGAAAGTAGAAACCCAAGATCTTTGCTTAACTTAAAATCTTGGGAAAAATACCAAAGGCAAAATCAGGGCTACATGAAAAATGTAAATGAAGCAGAGTTTGTAAGAATCAATCCACAAAGCAATAGTACCAGGTTCTAGGAACAATCTCTTTCCTCAGATGATCAACTCCTTTGCAATCTGTTTAGCTTAAGTTTTGTTTTTACATTTTTCAGAAGAGCATGATCTTGCGTTATCTTGTCATTTATCTTAATTTGGGCAGTCTGTTTGGATGAGGTGAGATGATTTTACTGGACAGTTCAAGAAAGAGTTTTAAACTGTTCTTTTTGTAGGATTATGACAACACCTGCAGTTTAGCTGAGTTTATAAAAACATCTGAATATGTTGGATGCCTCTCAAGTTTATTAACCTCTCTGAGAGAAATTATATACTGGTATTTTTTATTTAGCCTTTTTTATGACTTACAAAGTATTATTTTCCTAATTATTCATAATAAACACTTCTTAGTCAAAAAATTTCCCACAGATATATGCACAAATATAACATGTTGGAAACGGGTTGTCACACAGCTCTTAATTAAAGGAGATAAAGTGTTTCCTTCATTGATTCTGAGAGTTATTTATGGGCCAAAATACTATTCTGTGCAACATAAAGTATTTGTGTATAGCACAGACATTAGCTATACAGTGTCTGATCTGACCGATGGGAAGTGGTGGTCAGAAGGCTACCAAGTTTTTAATGTCTGGCATGTGCAGCCATCATACTTACACATTAGTGAGATAACAGAATGTCATTGAAAGGTGCCATCAATGGCCATAGAACAAAGAACATTAGGTTGAATTCTTCCCTTATTATCCAAGATTGATTCTCTCACTTGAAAATGGCAATGTATCCTAAAGCGGGTTTTGGAAAATAAGCGCACTATGCCTATAGAAGAATAAAACCCAAAGTCTTGGAAAGATGTACTGGATTAATATGCCAGATCATTATACAGCCATTCACAGAAGTCTGGTATATCCAGGTAATAGATGGAAAACTGCTACTCGTTAGCTAGCATTTCAAAGGGTTCCCCTTGTGTCTTGACTTTTTAAAACTTTAATTTTGAATAATTTTAAACTTAGAGACTAGTTTCAAAGATAGTACAGAGAGTTTCTGTATAGCCTTCATCTAGCTTCCTCTGTTAATGTCTTTCATGTCCATGGTACGATTGTCAAAACCGAGAAATTAACATTGGTACAATACTCTTAACTGGACTATAGGCTTTATTCAGATTTCCTTAGTTTTTCCACTAATGTCACTTTTCCAATTTCCCACATTCTATTTAACTTCCATGTCTCCTTAGGCTCTTCCAATCTGTGACAGTTCCTCCGTCTTTCTCATTTTTTATGACTTTGTCACTTTTGAAGAGTATTGGTCAAGTACTTTGTAGAATGTCCCTTAATCTGAGTTTGTCTGATGTTTTCTCATAATTAGACCTAGATTATAGATTTTGGGTAAGAATACCACAGAGGTGAAGTGACCTTCTCATCGCATCACATCAGAGGGTACATCGTATCAAAATCATTTACCGATGGTGATGTTACCCTTTAAAGAGGGATAACACTATTCTTGAGCATCTATCTGGAGAACCTAGAAGGCATCTTGAGATAATTTAATTGTTCAGGGGTGCCATCTTGTGGTTCACTGACTATATGGAAGCTGTTTTTTTTTTTTTTTTTTAATATTTTATTGTACTTCAGGTGAAGGCTTACAGAACAGATAGTTTCTCATGTAACAGTAACACACATGCTGTTTTATGACATT